CTGTGTCTGCGGTCGTGTGTGTGGACCTCGTTACCCACCCTGTGTTCAGATGTCCCGTGGTCTCACGTGCCGCCTTCTGTGTCTGTGGTCGTGTGTGTGGACCTTGTTACCTGCCCTGTGTTCAGATGTCCCATGGTCTCATGTGCCACCTTCTGTGTCTTCAGTCGTGTGTGTGGACCTGTTACCTGCCCTGTGTTCAGGTGTCTCGTGGTCTCATGTGTCGCCCTCTGTGTCTGCGATCGTGTGTGTGGACCTCGTTTGTGTCTGTCAGGAAGCCTTTTTGTTGCTCTTTCTCTGAATTTAAAAGCTGTGAGCAGGCTGGGTGTGTGGTGGCTCACACCTGTAATCACTGTCAGAAGCTGAGGTGAGAGGATTACTTCAGGCCAGGGGTTCAGAACTAGCCTGGGCAACAAAGTGAGATCCCCTCTCTACAAAAAATAATTAGTCGGGCATGATGGCATATGCCCAGGGTCCCAGCTACTCGATTGGTTGATGGGAGGATCACTTGAGCCCAGGAGGTTGAGGCTGCAGTGAGCGGTGATCACATTACTTCGCTCCAACCTGGGCGACAGAGTGAGTCCCTGTCTCTAACAAACAAACAAAAAAGGCTGTGGGCACTCAGAGTGTGGGTCCAGTAACTCACAAAGAGTTGCTAGTTGGAGCCGTGCCAACATGATGACCCTTTATTGATTGCCTGGGATATTGTAGTGAGAAGTTTCCCTTCTTTGCTGTAAATGCAGTTTGTGTAGGAAAGCCAGGACCGGTGAGCAATTCCTCCTCATTTAACTTTTCCCATGATGTGTTAGTTCACTGGCATCATCCAGTGTGACTGGTGTCACCAGCTCGCTTGTCTCTTGTTTGCCTCCTAGTGTTTAGCCTAGTGGATCTTCCACACATTGTTCCACCTTTGGCCAGTGAGAGTCTCTTCAAGGTGGCCTGGAGTCCTTTACAAAAGGAGCTTCAGGCCTTTCCTGTGCACTTACCATCTGGGGTCTGGAATCAGCTACTTGTCCAGCGACGGAAGGAGAATTCAGGATCATGGCCGGGCTCTCGGGAGGCCACTGGCGTGGTCTTATTGCGAGGTCTGTCCTACAGCTCGGAACTGTGTTTTTGTTTGCTTCAGTGATGCCTCAAATTGGGGCCGACAGGCTCCGCCTAACCCCTTGGTCTTCCGTCTGTGTCACTCCCTCACTGACAATCCCTGTTGCGGCAGCCCTGGCGAGGATGGATTGAGACCGGAACGTGGTTGTGACTCACTCGCTTTGCCCCACATACCCGCAGGACCGGCTCTGCTGCTGACGGCGTCGTGCTGAGACAGCATGTTTGTGGCTCCTGCAGCTGTCTTTGTCTTCAGGGCCTGTCTCAGATGCCAGCGTTTTCAAACCATCTGGGCACCTCTCTAGGTGATTGTGCCACCAAGGGGATGACAGGTTCATTTGTTTCATTTTTGATATTTACATATGACTTTTTAAAATTTTATTTCCTTTAAACAATAGGTTCTGCCTCAAATTTATCAAGCAAGGTATATTCCAGGAGGGTCAGCTTCCTGTCCCTGTCCCCTCCCGGTGCTCTGCTTTCCCGGCAGGAGGCCGGGAGCCACGTTTAGGGCACGTCTTTCATGCATCACACAGCTGATTCCACATGTATCTTCTCCTTACTTCTTTACGTAAATGAGACGCTTTCTCCACCTTTTAAAATTCGACCGTATATCCATAGGAGCATGCAGTGACTTCTTAATCTTATTATTATTTATTTTTAGAAATTGAGTCTTACTCTGTCACCCAGGCTGGAGCGCAGTGGCAGGATCATGGCTCACTGTAACCTCAACCTCCTGGGCTTAAGTGAGCCTCCCATCTCAGCCTCTGGAGTAGCCGGGACTGCAGGCACCCACAACCATGCCCAGTTACTTTCACAAAATTTTTTGTGGAGACAGGGTCTCAGTTTGTTGCCCAGGCTGGTCTTCAACTCCTGGCCTTAAGCGATCCTCCCTGCCTTGGCCCCTCAAAGTGTTGGGATTACAGGCGTGAGCCATCTCCCCTGGACGACTTCTTAATCTTTTAATGGTGTGGTGCTCTCTCACATGGCTGCCCAGCTCACTGACTGGCGCCGTGTTGTTGAACACATGGGGCATTTGTGGTCTCTCGTGGATCTGGCCGTGCTGCAGCAAAGAACCCTGCATGGGTGCCTGGCCAAGGCTCTGTGGGGCAGGTTCCTAGAAGTGGGGCTGCTGGGTCGGGGGCAAATGCCTGTAGAGTTTTCTGGAAGCAGCCCAGTCGCCTTTGTGGGGCTGCATCACTGTGCATTTCCACAGCAGCCGGGGGGCTTTCCTGGGTGGGAGCTGCATGCAGTTGTGATACCATCTCTCCTGACCTGAGAGAGGCATCGTCTCCCCACACTCAGGGCCACTGCCGTCCACACTTCCTTCCTGGCCTCCCTGGCCCCATCTCTGGCCGCTGTGGGCTATGGCCTCTAGTAGTTTTGCAGGCGTTTAGAGCCCGGGAGGGCGAATGTAAATCGCAAATGCTGCCCCATCTGTCTGCTTTTCTGTTCATTCTTCCGGGGCTTCCTTGTTTCTCTCCCATGTGCTCCTGAAGTGCTGAGCTCCGAGTCACGAGGGTCACATCTCTTCCTGCTCTCCTTGGCAGTCACATTCCCCTGTGCAGTCTCGGCCACACCCACACGCCAGGGCACCTCAGTTGGAACCAAGTTCTAGCCCCTCCTGAGCCCCACAGTCCCTGTGTGTCCGGCGCCATCTGGGCCTGCTGGCCCCTGCAGCAGCCTAGGCCCCAGGTTCTGTACGTCTGCTCTGTGCTCTCCGCCGCGGTCCCTGCGCTCACCCTCCACCCAGTGTCTGAGCAGAGCCCCCCTCCCAGCACGGATGCTGAGTTTTGGGAACCTCATGGCCCAAGGCGGGTGCATCCTTGTGGTGCTGTGCTGTGTACACCCTGCCCACCCTGGGACGCAGAGCAGGTGGCCCGGCAGTGCCCGTGGTGTCCTGAGGGCATGGTGGGGCCGTTCTAGTCCCTGGTGCAGACCAGGAGCCTGAGAGGCTCAGCAGCTCGTGTGTGTCGGCTGGGAACCACTGGCAGACAGACCCCAAAGCCCGTGCTGTCCCTGTTGCCACTGGCACCTCCTCCTCCACTCCCTCCTGTCCTCTCTGGGTCCTCTCCTTGTCCTTCTCCCTCTGCCTCTGCGTTGGCCGCTCCAGAGGTGCACAGCTTCCTGAAGAGCCTGCCCTGAGGTGCACAGCTGTGCTTTCTTGGAATGCCTGCCGCCCAGCTGTTGGGATCCCTTTGCTAGCAGCCCAGCTGGAAGAATGGCTCCTGTGGGCACTTGTCCCTTGGCACCTTCCCAGCTTCTCGCATTGACCCAGGCACCCGCTCTATGCTGCACAGGGCCTGGGAGCAGACACCTGAGGTGCATTTGCCAACTCGGAAGGCATTAGGGCAAAGCTTTGTGGGGCCACATTGTGGGAGGCCTCATTTGCCAGGTTCAGGCATGTCTGAGGCATCCTGGAGGTGATGGGAAGCCAGGGACTATTTTTAATGATGTGAGTGGCTCTGCTTTGGAACTACTGTTCAGTTTTTTGTTTTTGAGATGGAGTCTCGCCCTGTCACCCAGGTTGGAGTGCAGTGGCACCATCTTGGCTCACTGCAACCTTCACTTCCCAGATTCAAGCGATTCTCCTGCCTCAGCCTCCCCAGTCGCTGAAACTACTGGCGTGTGCTACCACACCTGGCTAATTTTTATATTTTTAGTAGAGATGGGGTTTTGTCATGTTGGCCAGGCTGGTCTCGAACTCCTGACCTTAGGTGATCCACTCGCCTCAGCCTCCCAGAGTGCTGGGATTACAGGTGTGAGTCACCACGCCTGGCCTTGGACCACTACTCTGGAAGTAGAGTAGAGATATGGAGCTGGGGAGGGGGTGTGGGAGGGTCCAGGAGCCCCTGTGGCAGTCTCTGTGTCTGGAATGGGGCAGTGGGCTGGGGAGGCAGAGAGGATTCATGCCGGAGACCTCTCCAGGCCCAGCACAGATTGTCTTTTGGGTCTGATGTCAGCTGAGGCTCACAGGGCAGGGGTGAGGGGGCAGGCAGCGGCTCATCCATGGGGGATTTGAAGATCCTGTTCAGCCCTAGAGTCTGCAGCTCCATGAAGGGATGCTCAGAGTAGGGGCATGGACAGCCCAGCAGTGTCAGGAAGACAGTAGTAACCAGCGTGCCTTCCCCATCCTTCCAGGAGCTGTCCAAGATCACGATGCCAATCGCCTTCAACGAGCCTCTTAGCTTCCTGCAGCGGATCACGGAGTACATGGAGCATGTGTACCTCATCCACAGGGCCTCCTGCCAGCCCCAGCCCCTGGAGAGGATGCAGGTGGGCCTTGGGGGTGCCAGGTGCGAGTTTGTCATGAATTTACACCGTTGCATGTCTGGCCACACAGTCTTGGGCCCTGGGCATGTGTGAGAAGGGCGTGCATAGCTCCCCGCAGTGCTCAGTGCCATCCTGCCTGGCAGCTGTCACCACAGGTGTGTGATGACAGAACTTGCAGGAAACGCCGTTGAGCTCTCAGCGGCCCCAGAGGCTCCCTGCTGCCACCTCCTGCCGGGAGTCTCTGCCTTTTGGAGCTGCAGGTGGCAGTGGTCTCTGCCCTTGGGCTCCTCTTGGGTCCTGTTGCACCACCGCCCCTGTGTGTGTGCTTGTGTGTGACTGTGGGCTGGGCACACATGGTGGCTCACGCCTGTAATCCCAGCACTTTGGGAGGCTGAGGCAGATGATTTGCTCCCGGAGGTTGAGACCAGCCTAAGCAACACAGAGATACCATGTTTCTACAAATTTTTTTTTAAACTTAGGTACAGTGGGGCATGCCTGCAATGCCAGCTACCTGGGAGGCTGATGTGACAGGATCACTTGTGCCTGGGAGCTACAGGCTGCAGTGAGCCACGATTGCACCACTGTACTCCAGCCAGGGTGACAGAGTGAGACCCTGTGTCTAAAAAAAATAAAACACAAGGGTGTGAGTGTGGGCACACCCATGTGTGTCCCTGCGTGTGTGCACATGCCTCTCTGAACGTGTGCTTTGGGGGTGTCCATGTGCATGGGTGAGAGTGTAGTGTGCGTGTGCATGGGCATGTGTGTGGAGTGTGTGCATGGGCCTGTGTGGAGTGTGTACATGGGAGTGTGTGCATGGGCATGTGTGTGGAGTGTGTGCATGGGCGTGTGGGGAGTGTGTGTGCATGGACGTGTGTGGGGAGTGTGTGCATGGGCGTGTGGGGAGTGGGCGTGTGTGGGGAGTGTGCATGGGCGTGTGGGGAGTGTGCATGGGCGTGTGGAGTGTGTGCATGGATGTGTGTGGAGTGTGTGCATGGGCGTGTGGGGAGTGGACGAGTGTGGGGAGTGCGTGTGCATGGGCATGTGTATGGAGTGTGCATGGGCGTGTGGGGAGTGGGTGTGTGTGGGGAGTGCGTGCATGGGCATGTGTGGGGAGTGGGCGTGTGTGGAGAGTGTGCCTGTGCATGGGCATGTGTGGAGTGTGGAGAGTGCATGGCCATGTGTGGAGTGTGTGTGCATGGGTGTGTGTGTGGAGTGTGTGTGCATGGGTGTGTGTGTGGAGTGTGTGCATGGGTGTGTGGAGTGTGTGCGTGGATGTGTGTGGGGAGTGTGCACGTTCCTGTGTGGAGTGTGTATGGGCATGTGTGTGGAGTGTGTGTATGCATGGGTGTGTGTGTGGAGTGTGTGTGCATGTGCATGGGCGTGTGGGGAGTGTCTGCATGTGCATGGGTGTGGAGTGTGTGCATGTGCGTGGTTGTGGAGTGTGTGTGTGCTTGTGCATCAGCATGTGTGTGGAGTGTGTGTGCATGGGTGTGTGGAGTGTGTGTACATATGCATGGATGTGTGTGTGGAGTGTGTGTGCATGTGCATCAGCGTGTGTGTGGTGTGTGTGGCTTTGTGTGCATGTGGGACAGAATGACATTGCTGCAGCTCCTGCCAGGAAGGGGCCCGGAGTTGGAAGGCAGCTCCCAGTTCCTTCTTTTTGTGCTGTTGGGCAGGTAATGGGTGGTGAAGGGTGTTCCCTGGAAGTCATAATCTCAGACATACCGCTCGGGGAAAATTGAAAAATCACCACCGAGCAAATAGTGACACAGAGAAAGCAGGTGCCTACCGCCCTCCGCGAGAGGCCATCTTCTCCAGCGCTTTTCCTAATTGAAGCTGTTCCTGTCTGCCCTGTGGATTATTTACAGTCTGTGGCTGCTTTTGCTGTTTCGGCCGTGGCTTCCCAGTGGGAGAGGACCGGCAAACCATTTAATCCACTCTTGGGAGAAACGTATGAATTAATCAGGTAAGGGAAAAAGGTCCCATCATAAATATCTTGTGAATAGAATTCCTTGGATAACAGATGAGTTTGATTCTTTCACCAGCGTTGATTCCTCTGTCTGAGAATAAACTTAGAATTCAGAGCTCACTGAAGTGTGTGGTTGCTGTAGGCAAGGTGTTTTGCACCGGGGGTTGTGCACAGAACGCCACGGGCCTGAGTGAGCGTGACGCATCGGCAATGGGATGCTTTAGTGTGCTCCACTCAGGCTTGCAGCCGGCGCGCGCCTGGACGCCTCCGTGTATGGGTGCAGCGTCTGCAGAACGTGCAGGTTGGTTGTGAGCTTCATCAGAATGGAAACAGGTACTCATGAGCAAAACTAGGCTGTTTTGCCAAAGTATTTCGAGACTGCTATTGAAAGAGCAGTTAAATCCAAAGGCAGAAATGATTCCAAAGAGGGGTTTCACTCCCGAGGCCATGTTTGCCACCACATGGCCTCTCCTGAGTTTCAGGAATGGTCAGATGGCGCTGGCCAAGAGAGAGTTTACCAGACATCCCGAAATTTCTTCCTACGAAACTTTTCCTCCAGGGAGCATCACCATCCCTTCCTGGAGTCCCCTCAGCTTCCCTCCTGCCCCTGCTGGCCCTCAGCTCACAGACCTGAGACTGACCCCAAGTCCCAGGACTCTGGCCCCAGAGGTCCAGCCTGACCCCAGATCAGGCTGTTTGTGGCTGGGCCTCTGGAAGGACTCGTTGGGATTCTCTTCACCCACATGGTTGGCCTGGGGACTGCTGTGGTTATTCACAGAATCATCCTGAAAAATTCTGCCCAGGTGACAATGCCCGCCCAAACCAACAAATGAAGTCAAAAGCAGACCAGACCACGGCGTGTATGTGGCAGCGTGCTGGTTCCTCAGCCACTGATCAGCCTGGCTGGGGCTCTGGGAGCTGTGGATGAGAGAGTAGAGGTGTGTGGCTTATGTCTAAAATGATTTTTATTCCACTGCCCATGGCCCCCGTCATTCTCTTGTAGATGTGTGCAGGTGCCTGCAGGCAGATGTGTAGGGAGGGTCCACGGGGCCCAGCTGAACCGCCATCTCTGCGACAGGGTTAGGCTGTGGTTCTGAAGGGGGAGGGGCAGAGTGCTCTCAGCTGCACCCTTCTCTCTTTCACCGTCGGTGTAGCCCAGGACACAGAGCTCGCTCCGTCTGGGGAGAAGGAGCTTGCTGGAGGGACGTGGGTGGTTATCTAGACGAGTCTGCTGTGCAGAATGCAAGCTGTTTGCCTCAGGCTGCTGGGCTGCATGCCTCCCTGCCCAGGAGCCGAGTGCAGACGGGAGAGAAGGTGGGCTCCTTTATTATCTTGTATTATTTTTCTATGAAAAAGGGAGTTGAGCCAAAACAATTAGCCTCTTATTTGGATTCTGGTTAGTTGAGATTCTGTTGGGTTGTTTTATTATGAAGTCTTTGTTTTTTTAATTACAAGAGCGTGTTCTTTATAGAAAATATCTAATGTTGAGACAGGTACAAAAGATAAGTCAGGCATAATCCCATAAAAGAGAATAGCCGGCTGGGCTCATGCCTGTAATCCCAGCAACTCGGGAGGCCGAGGCAGGAGGATCACTTGAGCCCAGGAATTCAAAGTTACAGTCATCGTGCCACAGCACTCCAGCCTGGACCACAGAGCCAGACCGTGTCTCTTTAAAAAAATACAAACTGAAAGATAACTGTCAACATTTTGTTAGAGATCCTTGTGTGTGTTTCAGAATATAATGTCAATTTGTATCTGTTTTTATTTAACATAACATGTCATAATCATTTTCCTGTGATATTTTCTAAATTACAGTGTTTCATTGATTTTAAGACACATTTTTCATGTTGCAGCATTTCTACATGTCAGTTCCTTTTTCCTTTTTTTTCTGAGACAGGGTCTCACTCTGTTGCCCAGGCTGAAGTGCAGTGGCATGATCACAACTCACTGCAGCCTCAGCCTCTGGGTTTCAAGTGATCTTCTCACCTCAGCCTCTCAAGTAGCTGGAACTATAGGTGTGCGCCACCACGCCCAGCTAATTTTTTATTTTTATTTATTTATTTATCTTAAAGACAGGGTTTCACCATGTTGGTCAGGCTGGTCTTGAACTCCCAACCTCAGGTGATCCGCCCACCTTGGCCTCCAAAGTGCTTGGATTACAGGCGTGAGCCACCACATCTGGCCAATTTTTATATTTTCAGTAGAGACAGAGTTTTGCTATGTTGCCCAGGCTGGTCTTGAACTCCTGAGCTCAAGTGATCTGCCCACCTCAGCATCCCAAATGCTAGGGTTACAGGTGTGCGCCTCTGCTTACCTGGCCCGTGTCATAGTTCCATTTTGCAGTAGTTTTTTCTTTCATAAAACAATGGTGTGCAGTACAATTAATGGCATCTTGGATTCAAAGAAGTGTAGTTTCTTTGAAACTTCAGGTCACTGTTTTGGGGCCTGTTATCGTATTTTATGTGTTATTAATGACTCATAATTTTTTTTTTTTTGAGACAGAATCTCCCTTGGTTGCTCAGGCTGGAGTGCAGTGGCACGATCTTGGCTCACTGCAACCTCTACCTCCTAGGTTTAAGCGATTCTCCTGCCTCAGCTTCCCGAGGAGCTGGGATTACAGGCGCACACCCCCACACCTGGCTAATTTTTGTGTTTTCAATAGAGACGGGGTTTCACCATGTTGGCCAGGCTGATGTCGAACTCCCAACCTCAGGTTATCTGCCCGCCTCAGCCTCCCAAAATGCTGGAATTACCGGCGTGAGCCACTGCGTCCAGCCATGATTGACATTTTTATCAATAGTGAGCAGATGGTTGCGGGATTTGGTTTGTTCCAAAAGGGCTCTCTTCTGGGGCGTGAAGAGTTGAAAAGCGTGTGCCCGCATTTGTCCTGGAGGGCGTGAGTGTCCGCGCTGCTGTCAGACCATCTGGGGAGGAGCCGCTCTTAGTAGCGCAGGCTCTCCTGCGCGTCTGCATGTCATCGCTGTGTAGTCTGGAGAAGCAACGTAAATGACACAGCTTCAGATTCTAATCTGTTCCTGGCTCATCCTGGGTGGGTCAGCTGCTGGTTCTTACCCACACGCTGCTGGTGTGTGAATGCCAACTTTATGTTTTTTGTTTGATTTAGAAGTTGGCTGGCACTGGGCAGTCGAGCACCTGTTCTCGAGCTCTCATTGCCCTTGAGGAAGCAGGACTAGCGTGGGCAGAGCGTGGGCAGAGCGTGGCATGGGGATGGCAGGGTCCAGCAGGCGGCTTTGGGTCGTGGCACATGCTGCAGGGAGCAGCCCTGCTTCTGCTTCTGGAAATGGGGAGACTAGGGCCTGGACAGGGGAACGACTGGCCCCAAGAATCCCTTGTGAGGGAGTCTTCTGTTCCGAATTCATGTGGAGTGTGCTTCCTTTTCTAGATATTTCTCTGGAGCAGCATCCCCGTTGCTGCCTGCCGGCCTTCCCTTCCTCTGGTCAGCGTGCTGTGCCACTGTCAGAGGGCACTGACGGGACCCGGCTCTTAGAAAATTACTAAAATGTCTTGAAAAAGATAAATCAGGCTGGACATGGTGGCTCATGCCTGTAATCCTAGCACTTTGGGAGGGTGAGGCGGGTAGATCACTAGGTCAGGAGTTCAAGACCAGCCTGGCCAACATAGTGAAACCTGGTCTCTACTAAAAATACAAAATCAGCTGGGCATGGTGGTGGGCACCGGTAATCCCAGCTATTCAGGAGGCTGAGGCAGAAGAATCACTTGAACCTGGAGGCGAAGGTTGCAGTGAGCTAAGATCACGCCACTGTACTCCAGCCTGGGAGACAGCAAGATTTTATCTAAGAAAAAAAAAAAAAGAAAGAAAAGAAGAAGATAACTCAGAATAGGAAAGAAGTTCTAGATGCTGGAGAAGAAACATTGTGGGTGAAAGGAATGCAAGCCGCCTGGGCTGAGTAGAGCGCGGCTGCCCCCAGGACCGGAGCTCCTGCTCCATGGCAGGAAGCACGCCACGCATCTCCCAACGCTGACACACGCTGTCTTCGTGCACTCACTTCCGATCGTCCCTGCCAGTGTCTGCTGTGTGTCTGTGAGACCCTGGCAGTCTGTCATGTTAGGGGCCGTGAACGTGAACCGAGTCCTTTCCCTACCCTGGATCCCTGCAGATGCGTAATAGCTAAAAATACACTTTCTTTTCTTAGGCAAGTATTCATTTTGTAAATTACATACCTTGTTAGGCAACCTTTTAAAATCTAATTTTTCAACTTTCCTTCCTCTGTAATGATTGGAAATTCTGATTCCAGTTAAGTTAGTAATTATGTGGTTCAGCTTTTATGATTTTTAATGACTACACCTGTAGGTGTATTCACAGTTCCGGAACAATTAAAAACTGACATTTTTTATTGAAAAACGGTATACTAAAAATCCTGTTTCCTGGCCAGGAATATTTTGGATTATAAGCCATTCCATTGGGCCGGGCACGGTGGCTCACGCCTGTAATCCCAGCACTTTGGGAGGCCGAGGCGGGTGGATCACGAGGTCAAGAGATCGAGACCATCCTGGTCAACATGGTGAAACCCCGTCTCTACTAAAAATACAAAACATTAGCTGGGCATGGTGGCGCGTGCCTGTAATCCCAGCTACTCAGGAGGCTGAGGCAGGAGAATTGCCTGAACCCAGGAGGCGGAGGTTGCGCTGAGCTGAGATCGCGCCATTGCACTCCAGCCTGGGTAACAAGAGTGAAACTCCGTCTCAAAAAAAAAAAAAAAAAAAGCCATTCCATCACTGAAATTTCAGGAGCCTTGTAGAAAGGCAAGGAGTACCCTTCAGAATGGCTTTCAGGTCCTGAGTTCCTAGGCAGTGGGAGTCCTCGAGGTTCCTGAGAGTTTGGAGTCAGGGATCTGTAGGGGTGCTTCTCCACCTGCGCCTCTGGGCACCTCTGGCCAGACACCGCTGTGGCTCAGGTGCTCCCATGGAGAGTGAGTGGGGCATTGGGGCGGAGGTGTTCCTGCGCCGTTGCCCTCCCTGTGTGGTCAGATGTGCTCGGGAAGCTGTGGCTGTGTGTCTGTTGCCAGCATTAGGCCAAGTGCGACGTCAGAGCGGCGGGTGTTTCCACCACATCTTGTGGCATGGAGGGCTCCTGCTTCCCAGCGTCCAATGAGGGGCTGTGCGTGATGACTGAGCTGCCCTTTCTTTTATGTTGCTACCATTAATATGGCTGTTTCTCTTTTTTATTCTTGGACCTAGGGAAGATTTAGGGTTCAGATTTATATCGGAACAGGTCAGTCACCACCCCCCCATCAGTGCGTTCCACTCAGAAGGCCTCAACCACGACTTCCTGTTCCATGGTTCCATCTACCCCAAGCTCAAGTTCTGGGGCAAGAGCGTGGAGGCGGAGCCCCGAGGCACCATCACGCTGGAGCTGCTCAAGTGAGTAGTGGTGCGTCCCGCCGAGCCCCGCTTCGTGGATAAACTAGAGTGGGTGCTGGTGTTGTGGAGGGCAGTCCTCCTTCAGGAGGAAGGCCTGTCCTCTTTCTCCTGAGGTGGTGGCCTTCCCACAGCAGACGGCTTCACTTGAGCTTCCTGACCATCTGAAGATGGGTCCCATGCTGCTGGGGGATGTCCTCATCTCCGACTGCAGTTGGAATTCATATCCCTTTCTGTCAACTAATTGTATTCCTTGTCTTTTACTGCGTGACAGCCCCAAACTTAGCAGCATACACCCCAGTCTGGCAGGGTTTCTGAGGGCTGGGGACCGAGGGGTTGTGAGGGGATGAGGGTTGGGCTGCCTGTGGCGCCTGTGTCCCCCTCACCTTCGAGGCTGCTGGCCGGGGGCTACATGCTGCAGGGCATTGCCTCCCACAGCGGGGGAGAGCTGAGAAGGAGGCCAGGGAAGTGCCCAACCCATGTTCATGTGCAGGGGTGACTGAGGGTTGGAAATTCAAACGGCCTGGGAGGGGACCATCCGAGAGGCTGCCCAGCACCCCTCTTCACTCCCAGCCTGCATACTGCCCAGTCCAGTGTCGACCAAAGACACCTCAAAGCAAAACACACGTCTCTAGCAAGCACCGGCCGCTAAAACCCGGCAGACACAGACTAGATGCTGGCGTCCCCCTGGGCCGCCGGTCCTGAGGTGTGAGTCTTGCTGAGCCACTGCCTGCGGTCTTCTTATAGGCACCAGGTCCTGACAGATGAATAAGGAGATCTGTGATCAGCGCCACCTCGCCATGATGAAGCATTTGATGTGGGTTTTGCTTCACATTGGCCCAGCCTGGATGGCTGCTAGAAGGTTCCACAGGGACCTGGAGAAGCCCCTGAGGAGTGTCGTGGGGTTGGTGTGGCCTTGTGCCTGTCGTGCAGTGGCCTTGCTTACTCAGGAAGAAGCCTGCAGAAGGGAAAGCTGCACACCTTGCTGATGAGCAGGCTTGGGCCCCGCCTAGGAAATTCAGAGGATCCCACACGTGTTGTGAAATACCCTGCTCTGAGCGGATTTTCACCTTCACTGACTCCTCCATGTAGCCACTCAAAATATGGGGCTGCTGATCTGCTGCCTCACGTTTGTGGGGTGTTTTCTTCTTGGGCAGGGCCATTTGGGAGAAAACCGTGCACCCCTCCACAGCCACGTGCCGGCTCCCCAGATGGCCAGGGCCGCGTGCCCATGACCCTGCATTACCGCAGATGTGTTTGGTGAGGTGGCTTTTCTTTTGAGACTTCACAGGAAAGCCGTTTCCCTTTGTTTGGTCTTTGATTGCTTATTAACGTTGTCTTGACATTTAAGTAGAAAGCTTTGTAGATGCTACAAAGGGAAGAAGTACATTTCAAACGCTTGCTAAATACACAGTCCCCGGCAGAGGGGCTTCAAAGCAGCGCGCTGCTCTCTGGCGGGCGCCGGGTGGTGTGGCCCAGCCCCGCCTGGCCTTTGCATCGTAGGTCACAGTGTGTCTTGGCCTTTTTGGACTCTGACTGTTTGTCTTCTGGTGTCCTCACAGGCATAATGAAGCCTACACCTGGACCAACCCCACCTGCTGTGTGCACAACGTCATCATCGGGCAGCTGTGGATAGAGCAGTATGGGACAGTGGAGATTCTAAACCACAGGTGACAGCCCCCACTGTCGGGAGAGAATGTGAGGCTCTGGGTGGGGTGAGTGAGCCGGGAAGTGGGGATGCCCGTGCTCCGGGTGGGGTTTAGCTCAGCCTCACGAGCCACTGCCGTGTGCCGGCTGGCCGAGGCCCAGCAGCTGCCTGGAGTTGACTCTGGCCGGTGCTGCATCACCATGGGTGCTCCTTGTTCACGGCTCTGTTTTCAGTCACAGTCGTTACTTTCAGGCTTTGAACTGTGCCCACAAGCTGTCCCATTGCCAGGCGCAGCACAGTGGCTGTCCACAGCGGTCAGCCACTGTCCAGGCTTGAATGCCTGTTCCTGGAAGCTCACGAGGGGTGGGCTTTGCCTTTTCACCACTTTGGTGATGTGTAATCGATGAATCCTAAAACCCGCCCATTCTGAGTGGACACCTAAGTGATTTTTAGCAAATGGACCAGATTATGGAGTCATCCCACTGCCAGTTTCAAACATGTCCCTCGCTCCAAAGGCCCACCATGCCCATTCACAGTCACTCCCCTGCCCACCCCAGGGCCTCCACCTCACTTCTCCCATTGCAGAGGTGGCCCTTCTGGCTGTTTGCTGTCTCACAGCAGAAACCTGTGCGTGTTTTTCCCACAGAACTGGACACAAGTGTGTGCTTCACTTTAAACCGTGTGGATTATTCGGAAAAGAACTTCACAGAGTGGAAGGACACATTCAGGACAAAAAGTAGGTCCTTGCAAGGTGGTCCCCAGGCACCACTGCAGCCTGCGTGTCTGCGCTTGAGGGCTCGGGCGCTGCTGGGCCTGCGTGTGCCAGTGCACACAAGACGCGGGTCCCAGTGCCGTCTGTTCATGCTCCACGACATGACTCTTTGTTGTTTAGGAAAGGCATTTGGTTATTGAGTGTAAAAGGAAATAAAGGGTGTTTCTGAATGTAGTTTCTAGGTGACTTGTTACTGGGGCCATCTTCTTTTGATAAAATTTTTTTTGTTTTTTTGAAGTGGAGTCTTTCTCTGTAGCCCAGGCTGGAGTGCAATGGCTTGATCTTGGCTCACCGCAACCTTTGCTTCCCGGGTTCAAGTGATTCTTCTGCTTCAGCCTCCCGAGTAGCGGGGACTGCAGGCACGTGCCACCACGCCCAGCTAAATTTTGTATTTTTAGTAGAGACGAGGTGTCACCATATCGGCCAGGGTGGTCTCAAACTCCTGACCTCATGATCCTCCCGCCTCAGCCTCCAAAAGTGTCAGGATTATAAGTGTGAGCCACCAAGCCCAGTTGATAAAATTGACTTGAGAAGCCAGCTATTTGCGCTGGGAGTGGGACGAGACTGTGGTTCCGCAGCAGAGCTGAGGTGGGAGCATGGCCGTGCAGACTTTTCCCCACCCGCATCCCGTGCACATTGTCAGGCGAGATTCAGATGTTAACTTGTGGGGTGTCAGTGTCATGTGACTGGTTCACTCGAGTCTTTAAATCAGGGACTTTCACAAGTTTCTGTGAGTAGAAAAATGGTCAGTACTGTTTTAACAAACTTTTCAGCTTTTGTTCTCCCCATTTGGGTTAATTACTTTGTGATCTGGGTCTCAAATTTGTTAATTTTTTTTCGGTAAGGAATTTGAGCCATAGAATGTTGTGAGGATCCTTCTAGTCCCTAGAATCTGTACATTTCCCATGAAAAACTAGCCCCCAGTTTGAAACAGTTGGGCCAGGTGCAATGGCTCATGCCTATAATCCCATCACTTTGGGAGGCCGAGGGGAACAGATCACATGAGGCCAGGAGTTCAAGACCAGCCTGGCCAATATGGTGAAACCCTGTCTGTACTAAAAATACAAAACTTAGCTGGGTGTGGTGGTGCACGTCTGTAATCCCAGCTACTCGGGAGGCTGAGGCACGAGAATCACTTGAGCCCGGGAGGTGGAGGTTTCAGTGAGCCGAGATCATGCCACTGCACTCCAGCCTGGATGGCAGAGCAAGATTCCATCTCAAAAAAAATAAGACGGGTGATGTTTCTGCTCTGTCCACCATCTGTTGTGTATCACAAATGCACCTGTTTCAAAGGCCTGTAAAATAAAATGCCCAGGCTTATAACTGACCATTTCTCCCCTGAAACATGAGAAGATAAATGTGTGGACCTAGAAGGGACAGCAGTTTTATGATGGGGTGGCAGTCACCAGTGCCTTGACCCCCCCCACACCCCGCGCCTGTGGAACTCAGCCCAGGGAGCAGCTGGATGTCCATTTCCAGAAGCGGGCAGGGGTGCCAAGGCCAGCACTCGCTGCCCCTCAGTGAGTGCGTGTAAAGTGTGTTTTGGTTTCCTGGTTTTCCATCGTAAATTTAAGGGCAGTTTGTCCTTGGAGACACAGAGTTGTCCCCAGGCTGTCTGCTGGGTGAGGCCTGGCCCAGTTCCCCGTGTCCATGTGCTGGCTCTGTAGGCACGCCAAGACGCTGTGCCCTCCTGGGTCCTGGGCCTGTCAGAGCTGCACTTCCAGGGGGTCTGTGATTGCGGTGGACTCTTCCCAGCAAGAGGCCAAAAGAAAGAAAACGGAGCCTGGAGCTATTTGGCTTCATCCCTTTTGGAATCAAGAGCTCTGGCGGCAGCTCTGCACAGGTCTCGGGGTTGTTTTTGATGAAAAAAGGCAGGTGGGGAACCAAAGATGCAGCAAGCAGTGTTGATGGCCCCGTTGATAGAAAAGCGCTGAAGGACGCGCGCACATTCAGTGCGTTTCAGATTGTTGTGGGCGCAGGCGGCTTTCCACTTTAAAAATCTCGCTTCTTTTTGCCCCTTCCCGCCTCCTGCAGCCCTGTGGGCCGTCCGTCTGTGGGGTTTCCGGCCCTTCATTTTCCTTTCCTTGGTGTGTATCAGGGCTAGGAATGGTCCCAGAATGCAAATTTTCACCTTTGCGTTGATGTCCAGAGATGCCCTAAAACGCATAAGAAGACGTGCCTGAGGGGAGTTTGTTCCAGGGGCAGCATGAAGGTTCTGCCTGTTCAGACAGACGGTTGTGATGACTAAAACTTAGCTTTACAAATCTCATTTAATTACAGCAAAAAGAAGCTCTTTGTGATCTATGGCAAGTGGACGGAATGTTTGTGGGGCATAGATCCCGCTTCGTATGAATCCTTCAAGAAGCAGGAGAGGAGAGGTGACCACCTGAGGAAAGCCAAGCTGGTAAGGGCTGGGGCGCCCGGGGGTGCTGCGCCCTGGGAGCTGAGGGCTGTCGGGTGCTGTGGCCCTTGGCTCACCTGTCGGGGGCCCAGGGAGCCTTTTGGCCCCACCAGGAGAGATGAACGTGCAGAATTGGTCCAGATGAACTGCGTGTTGTGGGTTCTAGTATCAGTGGGGAGTTTATCTGTATTTCTTTCCGTTTTTTTTTTCCAGCCTCTAGCTACCAGGCCCAAGCGATCCTCCCTCCTTAGCCTTCTAAATGGCGAGGAGTGTAGGTGTGCACCACCACGCCTGGCTAATTTTTATTTTTATTTTTTCATAGCATTAGGGTCTTGCTGTGTTGCCTAGGCTGGTCTTGAACTCCTGGGCTCAGGCAGTCCTCCCGCCTCGACCTGCCAAAGTGCTGGGATCACAGGCATGAGCCGCAACACCCAGCCGATGTATCTGTATTTCAGTTGCACAGAGGCTGCAGCTGTAAGCAGTGGGTACCGGTGCCCCGGAGTCATAGTCCCCCGCCCTTATGGCTGGAAGTACCTGAGGAAACCTCATGCAAGGTTGTTACTTTTCTGGAAGCTCCAACTTCTGGGTCCTTCTTAGTAAATCTCACTTTCTTCAAATTAGCTTAGACGTATTTTAAAAATAAAGTGAATTTCAATTTTTTGTTTTTAGTTGTGAATGGCAGATAATATATTCAACAGCTAGAAAGTATGGGCAAGATTTTCCCCGTAGAGCTTTGGTATACTGATTACCTTAAGACTGGTTGTTCTTGAGCTTAAAAATAAGTGATAGTTCAAAAGAGGTGTCACATTTTCTACGTAATGAATTGGAATGCACCAAACCTGAAACGTTCAATATTTATTTAACAAAAACATTCAGCCTCCTCCAGGATCCGGTTTTTACGTTGTAGTATTTTATGTGTGCTGGTAGACACCTTTTCTAATCATCCTTTTTTATTTAGAAAGTACAATTCTGCTTACAGACTATACAGGCCTGAAAGGGTAAACCCATTTAGTGATATCTTTTGATGCTTTCCTGCTCCTGGAGGTGACCTAGAAACAGGAGTGTTTTCCGTGAACACTTGTCCTTGAACTGCGGCTCTCCCTCACCCGGCCTCAGGCCAGGTGGCCCACAGTCAGTGTGACACAGCCCCGCTGATGCAGGAAGCCCAGGCCTTTGACCCCCTTGTTTTCAGTAGTCTCCCTGAACAGCAGCATCTGGTAACCATTCTCTTCCTTTTGAAAAGCAGCGTGGCAGGTTTTGTCTTTTCATTAGGGTGTGCTGTACAGTGGGCTCTGTGTGAAACGCCGAGAGACCCTGAAACCCCCACACATGAGTCACTCCTGATGGAGGGAAAGCTGCACATCTAGGAAAGCTCTCAGTCCCAGAACCTGCCTTCTGGAGAGGCGCCATGAGCGTGAATGAACGTGTTATGTGGAAGGCATCGCCCGTACAGCCACGCTCAGACTCCGTAGAGCGCCCTTTCACGTGCCTGCTTCTCCCGAAAGAAAACACGCCCTGCTACCGACTTGCTGTCGTCTTCTCTTTGAGTGTCAGTTAGAATAGACAGCACGTCCCCACGAAGGGAGCGTGAGCTGCTTTAGGGACTGGGGCCTGGTTCCTCTCCGAACAGTGACAGACAGGGGATAGACTGGGGAGGAAATTCGATTTTCTCCTTAGTTTAAGAAAAAAAAGGCTGGGCGCGGTGGCTCGAGCCTGTAACTGCAGCACTGTCAGAGGCCGAGGCGAGTGGATTGCCTGACACCAGGAGTTCCAGACCAGCCTGGCCAACATAGTAAAACTCTGTCTCTACAAAAAAGACAAAAAAATTAGTCGGGTGTGGTGGTGAATGCTTATAATCCCAGCTACTCAGGAGGCTGAGGCAGGAGAATCGCTTGAACTCGTGAGGTGGAGGTTGCAGTGAGCCTAGGTCTCACCATTGCGCTCCAGCCTGGGCAACAAGAGTGAAACTGTGTCTCAAAAAAAAAAAAAAAAAAAAAAACAAAAGAAAGGCCAAGGCCGTCTGGCTGTGCTCAGGCGTGGTGACTGGTCTGAAAGGCACTCTGAGAATAGCTGTCCTCCCCGGGCGGCCACACAGCAGGGTTCTGTGTTTCAGGAGGACGGCTCCAGGAAGGCTGAGAGCGACGTGGCTGACGACGTGCCTGGGGCCCAGGAGACCGTGCAGGTCATCCCCGGCAGCAAGCTGCTCTGGAGGATCAACACGCGGCCCCCCAACTCCGCCCAGGTCTGTGCCCCTCCGTGGCCTGACGCCTCTGCCTGCCCAGGTCAGACCTGCCTCAGCGCGCCCCGGGCCAGCCCCTCCGCTCTTCCCTGTCCTTGGGCCCTTGTCTGCCACCTCGCCTAAGCCTGTTGTCCCTGAGCAGATGGAGGGGCCTTCGCCAGTGGGGTGGGCCTCTGCTCTCCCTGGAGCTGCATCCCGGCCCTGTGCCTGCCTGCCGGCCTCGGGGCCTGCTGTTGGGGTTGGCACCGCTGCTCCGCAGGACGTGCAGGTCGAGGTACCTACGCACGCTCAGCTGCATGTCGGAGCCGCCTGCGGGGCACACGCTTGCGCTTCCCGGGAACGTCAGACAGGCACGTGGCCATTGCCTGCCAAGGCCTGTGCTGAGCGCGTCTTACCAAAGAGGCCTCCAGACTTGCTCTGGGAGATTGTTTTTCTAACTTGTCAATTCACGTGCTTAAATGCATTGTGATATTTATTTTTGAAAATTACACTGATAATTTTATTAAATATATGGTAAATGACATGTCTTACGTATATATAACAAAATAATTGATATGTGGTTTATGATAAATATAATCACGTTATGTAATATCTTGATTTCTTTTATAAATTGTTATTCATATACAAAATATATGCAATATAAAATTTTGTATGTCCCATAAACAGAGCAGAACATGTAAAATACAGAAAAGGAAGCAAAATCTTCACCTCTGAGCGTATTGCCTCAACAGTCGCTGTCATTATTTGAGCACAGCATGAAGGGGTCTAACAATGCTGTTTTCTTTTTTAATAGAGGCAGAGTGTCACTCTGTCACCCAGGCTGCAGTGCAGTGGTGGGATCTCACTGCAGTCTCCAGCTGCTGGGTTCAAGTGATCCTCCCACCTCAGGCTCCTGAGTAGCGAGGACCACAGGCGTGTGCCACCATGCCAAACTAATTTTCTATTTTTTGTGGAGAGGAGATCTTCCTATGTTGCCCAGGCTGGTCTTGAACTTCTGGCCTCAAGCAGCCTTACTGCCTTGGCCTCCTGAGTTGCTGGGACCACAGGCATGAGACACTGTGGCCTGCCAATGATACTATTGGTATTTTGGATTTTTTTTTTTTTTTTCATGGAAATCTCTTTCAAGATAACTCGTGCTTCCAGCCTTTGGCTCAGCATATGTGTTGAGTCCACCTGCCTGCCAGGCACTGTGGGCCTGGGCATGGGGACCAGGCAGACGAGGCCCCAGCAGGGAGGCGGGGCAGGTGGTGGACTCATGCCTGAGAACCCAGTGGTGCCTTAGGTGCCAGGGAGGGCATCTGAGTGCTGTGGCTTCGGTCATGGAGTGGGGTTTGTCCAGGGATTGCATTTGGGCAGAGGGGGCAGCCCGGGCAGAACCCCCTGGAGTAGACTAGTGTGTGAGGGCCAGAAGGCCCAAGGGGGCCATGGGGATGAGGGTGGAGGGGTGCAGGGGTCCGCAGATGACTTCAGCTTTTGCTCTGAATGACATGGGACACCATGGAAGTCATTTAAGCAGGGGGTGACTGGTGCGGTTGATGTTTCCTGTGGCCCTTCTGGCTGTTTGAGATGCAGTACGGGCAACAGAAGAGGGAGGACACGGGTGGTGGCTGGGGGGCCTGGCTGTGGCGGGAGGACCTGAGAGGGCCCAGGGCCCTGGGGGATGCAGACCATGGGTGCAGAGTGCTGCAGCAGGCTGCTTGGGCATGCTGTCCAGGAGGCGCAGAGCAGGCACAGCTGCAAGCCAGAAGTGAGGCAGAGCAAGGCCCCGGGCATCCTGGGCACGGGGTGACTGTCATGCCCTAAGCATTCCAGTTTTTGACATGACAAGTTAACTTGCTCCCAGGGCTGAGGCTTTGGCAGCTGGAGGGTGGAGAGGAGGGACCCGCGGGCAGGTGTGGTGAGGGCAGGGAAGGAGCAGGTGCAAGCTGAGAGTTGAGCAGTGGGAGACAGGTGGCCTTGGCCAGAATGTTTCCAGCAAGCTGGTGACAAATCTGTCGATGAATTGTGACGACAGAAAAAGAAACGTGTGTGTTTTGCTGTCACACCTCAGCCTGCAGACGTTACAGGTGCAGCACGAGATGAGGGCTTAGTGAGGACGGCAGAGGTGTTACATTTGTGTGACGGCGCTAGCGGAAGTGGGTTCTGGTGGTGGCAGTCAGGTGGCAGCTGCAGGGTGTCCAGGGCCCACTGGGGGTCTCAGAGCATGGCCTGCAGCTCAGAGGCCCTGCTGAGGCCGCGTCCCTGTGCCTGCTCCGCAGATGTATAATTTCACCAGTTTCACTGTGAGCCTCAACGAGCTGGAGACGGGCATGGAGAAGACCCTGCCACCCACAGACTGCCGCCTGCGCCCCGACATCCGCGGCATGGAGAACGGCGACATGGGTGCGTGCTGCACCGCCAGAGGAGGGGGCTGGGCCAAGGACGCCCTGGCTCGGGTGGGGAGTACAGAGCGCCCACTGGCAGAAGCCAGGCTCTTCCCTTCAGGGGGCCAGTCCTTTTCCCTAAACAAACAAGCAGGCCGCGGCCTTCTAGAGCCAGGCTTCTCAGACCATCTGCGGCAAAGGACTTTGAAGAGCTCTCGCCTGCCCCAGACCAAACCTTTTTGTAAATAAACTTAAATAAATTTGTAAATAAAGTTACATTACTAGAAAGTGAAATGAAAAAGAATACACAGAAAGTACAAGTCCTAGGCCAGGCACGGTGGCTCATGCCTGTAATCCCAGCACTTTGGGAGGCCAAAGCAGGTGGATCACCTGAGGTCAGGAGTTCAAAACCAGCCTGGCCAACATGGTGAAACTCTGTCTCTACTAAAAATATAAAAAGTGTGGCAGGCTTGGTGGTGTGTGCTTGTAATCCCAGCTACTCTGGAGGCTGAGGCATAAGAATCGCTGGAACTCAGGAGGCAGAGACCCTATCTTAAAAACAAAGTGCGAGTTTCTGATTTTTTGTTATTAAACAGAAGTTAAGATGACAGTTTGAAAACTGCACATGTTCCACTGTGAGGATCTGAGCAGCCGTCGGTGCCATCGCAGCTCATGCGTGGGTGTCCTGCCCCCTCAGGCTCCCAGTGAGCTCTGTGCACACAGCATTCCTCTGCAGCATGGCAGCCGCACAACTTACTCATCTAGGTCGAATCCGCAGTGGAACGTCTGGCTAGGGAGGCATATTTAAAGTGTCCTAGGTTTTGAGTTAGTGATATTTTATTTATTTATTTATTTTTAGAGTTGGGACCTCTCTCTGTCACCCAGGCTGGAGTGCAGTGATGCAGTCACTGCAGCCTCCACCTCCCAGGTTCAAGCGTTTCTCTTGCCTCAGCCTCCCAAGTAGCTGGGATTATAAGTGCATGCCACCACACCCTGCTAATTTTTACGAGGTTTTGTTTTTGTTGGGTTTTTTTTGAGATGGAATTTCGCTCTTGCTGTCCTGGCTGGAGTGCAGTGGCATGATCTTAGCCCGCTGCAACCTCTGCCTCACAGGTTTAAGCAATTCTTCTGCTTCAGCCTCCAGCGTAGCTGGGATTACAGGCACCTGCCACCACACCCGGCTAATTTTTTGTATTTTTAGTAAAGATGGGGTTTCACCATGTTGGCGAGTCTCCTCTCGAACTCCTGACCTCATGATCCTCCCTCCTCAGCCTCCCAAAGTGCTGGGATTACAGGCGTGAGCCACCGCGCCAGGCCTAATTTTTTAATTTTTTATGGAGATGGGGTTTTGCCACGTTACCCAGGCTGGTCTTCAACTCTTGGGTTCAAGTGATCTGCCTGCCTCAGGCCTCCTAAGTGTCCTAAGTGCTGGGATTGCAGGCAGGCATGAGCCACCGCGCCTCGCTTGAGTTAGTGATGTTTTAGGAGAGAAACCTTGGTCACACTGAGAAGCCACGTGGCAGTTACCCTGGAAAGCTAAGGTGAAATGGAGCTCGTCTCTGTTGAGAGATGCGCTGTGGGGGTTGGGCTGACTCCCCTTCCTGAGTGCCTGCTTGCGACTAGGGTCTCAGGTGGTGCTGGGGCCCTGCGTGAGCTCCAGACTAGTGTACCACAGACCATACCTTGAGTAGCCTGTTGGAGAACACGCAGCACACGCAGCCCCACGCTCTACTGAGCCCCATTTGGGAGGGGCCCCGCTGCTGCAGGGACAGCTGGCTTCGGCAGCTGTGATTACATTTGGTCTCCTGATGACAAAACCTGTTGTCTGTGGCTTTCCAGCCACAGTGGGACATGCCATCTAGAGGTCCAGGTGCCTGGGGGGTGGGGTCAGTTCTGAGGTCTCTGTCTGACCCGAACTGTTTGCTTGGACCCTAGATCTGGCCAGCCAAGAGAAGGAGCGGCTGGAGGAGAAGCAGAGAGAAGCGCGGAGGGAGCGGGCCAAGGGGGCGGCGGAGTGGCAGACCAGGTGAGCACGATGGCTGCCACACAGGGCGGGGCAGCGGGGACACCACGCAGTGGGGACAGCCACACCCGGGGACAGTGAGGAGGCTCCATACACAACCAGGGACAGTGAGGAGACCCACACACACA